CAAACCTAAACAAGCTAATCAAGGTCTTTAGGATTACTAGAAACTTCCACACAGGTGTTTTGGAGCTGGTTGGAGCTACACTCTGCAGGACAGTAGCCCTCCAGGACTGGAGTTTGACACATGGTCTATGCATACAAAAATAAATAAATAAAATGTGCATATTGTCACCGTATACATACTGTATACTGCAGAAACAGAAGTATGCTGGTATGCTATTCTGAATACAGCCACTGTCACAAAGCCAAGTGTGGATGGTATGTCACAACTGAGAGTTCCAGTGTAGGCCTATGCTTAGAGCATTTTCTGACTTCTATTCTCTCCTCTTTCATTGCTTTCTATGCATTCTCTGTCTCTTTTTCTTCCCTTAACATAGCTTAAGACTGAGCTCCTGGGCTCAAAGTTTAACTCCATCCTAGAGGAAGGCACGGTAAGACTGAAATTTAAGATGAGCATGTAAACAAATGGCTGGAGGTGAAATAAACTAGCAATAGACAGCAATAAAAGCAAACATTTTGAGAAAAAAAATCCAGTTACTACAAAAATTATTTACATTTATTTCTGTTTTAACAATGCTGTTCACTGCTGCCCGGAAGCTAATAATTCATATGCTGGCTACCTCATTCTGTTTAGCGGCTAATTGCTAACAGTGCTTTTGAGTGTATTGTTAAGGACCTTTATTTTGACATGACCAAAGTTTTCCTGCTCTGCCTCCAAATATTGTGCCTAAATATCTTTTCTAAATTATTTTCACAGGGAGACGACAGTGATTACCAATCTGTTGGCCCAATGGCAGGCATGGAGAGGCAAGAGCTGAACTACGCCGCCCTAGAGTTTCTCCATGGACGACACTTGGAGGGAGGCTTCAGGAGGGCTGATGGTGACACCAGCGACTACACTGAAATTAAGGCAAAATGAACCGCGATTCTTCCCTGATGCCTCGGCCAAACGGGACACAATGGCCGCTAGGGCCCAATAATTCCCACTGCCCCAGAAATTTCCTATTTCACCCATTTTAAATGTGGCCTTTTCAAGGGACAACTGTCTCGGACAGTTAACGGACAATGAGTCTGAGGTTGTTTTAGATTGCATTCTCTTATGTCTCCAAGGTTCTGGGAATTATATGTTCCCTTATCAGTAAAAGATACTGTACAATAGAGTTTCTTTATGTATTTATTAATGTTTTTGGTTATTTATACCCATTCTTGACTGTAGCCATACCAGATGTTTAGTCTCTCAATCAGATATGAGAGGTTTTAGTATTCTCCTGGTTTAAAAGACAATACTTTTCAAAAGGAAGGGTCTTTTTTCCAAGAGTTACAGTAGAGCTTATAGTCTGAAGCAAGCTTAAGGGAAATGGTATGGTTTGCAGGTGAGTCTCAGTCACTAGTGGTCCTTTTAACTGTGTCCGCTGTAAGTCGAAGCATCAGGGAACGAGGTGCTATGTGCACCTCGACATAATGTATAAGCACTATCCCAACTCTGGGTATGTCTTGGAGGCCTAACACTCTCTTAAATACAGCGGTTGTTTCAGATCTTTTTCTGAGTGTACAAGTCTTCGTGCACATTTCAATATTCGTCCGCTGAAACTTTTATCACATACCCAGAGGTGATTGTTAAAGGGATAGTTCACTCAAAAAATGAAAAAAACTCACCCTCATATTGTTCCAACTGCATGTCACAAGAATCTTTGTTTAGTTATTTTATTACAACAACAGTTCATAGTGACCACATCTGTTAAGCTTATAAAAGACCAAAAAAACATAATAAAAGTACCATGAAACAGCTCATGTTCTATAAGAGTTCTAAAGCCATCATTGATGTCAACAATGGCAAAACATCTGAATGTGATGCCATTTTGTTTTTTTAAATATTGAGTCGTACAGACTACTTTTATGGTGCTGTTATGATGGTTTTGTTCTTTATAGTGTTGATTTTGTCCTTCAGTTTGTGATCACTGAACTGTTGTATGGAATATTTGCCAAACCTGTGTAGTTCCAAACCTGTATGATATTCTTTCTTCTGTGAAACGTAAAAGAAGATATTTTGAAGAATGTTGGTAACCAAATGATTGATGGTAGCCAATGACTTCCATACTGTGGAAAAAATACTATGGAAGTCAATGGCTACCATCAACTAAAATATCCTCTTTTGTGTTCAGCATAAGAAAGAAACTCATACCGGTTTGGAACAACATGAGGGTTAGTAAATGATGACAACATTTTCATTTTTGGGTGAACTATTCCTTTAAATTAATACTCTTTTTATTTTTAATTATACTGTATATTTCACTTATTTGTATTTGTAAATGAAAACAGGCCAGTAACTGGATTCAAAACTGGTTTATTGAATGGTTGCTGGATTTTGTTTGTCCCAACTACTTTGTACCCTTTTATTCAGACATATATTTGTTTTAAATGTTCCAAATACATTAAGGAGCAAATTCACCCTGATAATAATTCAGCCAATCTGACAGGATGTAGTATATGATAATGCCTGATGGTCATCCCTGCTCCTGCACACATTGCAATCTAATATGGTTAAGCTGACATTTGATATAAACAGAAAGTCATATTAAATAATGGATGATTGTAGCTCATCCTTTGAAACTGAGTAAGAAATAACCACCATTTGGAACATATAGGAAGGTATCACTTTACCTAAGGTGCTTGAAATAAATGTAATGTTTTATGTAATCATGTAATCCTCTGGTAAGGTTGTGTCGATAGATGTTTGTTAGATGGTCAGTATATGCGATTAGCCCTTGAAATGCAATTTGACTAACAGATTAATGAGTCATTATGATATTAATCACATCTTACATTTATAAAGCATTCAAAGCACCTTGGTTGGATACCAATGTATGTAAATACTCTGCATGATATATAGTTCTGTGTTGTGAACCTTTGACCACACAACAAGAACATACATTGTGCAACAATGGTGTATATTTTGCAGACAATATACAATTAGTAACAAAGACAGTCCATGTTTGAAGATATATACACAGATATTTATTTGTAAGCAAACAGATTCGGGGGCGCATTAGTAGGTCAAACCTAATTTTTCACTTTGAGTGTTGTAAAGAATATTTGTATGTATCTGACTGTGTGATGGCAATAATAATGAACACGTAATGTTGTTTCCTTATTGACATAATAATGCAGAACAGAAAATCTCCAATCATTATTTAAATAATAATTTACATGATGTTCTTTGCTTGCTTTCTTTTTGTATAATAAAAGTCTCCAGCCTCAAATGATGCCATTCTTCTTTAAAGTCGGCATGAAACGGAAGTTGCGATTGTCTTTTCTTCTCTGCTGTGACGTATATCCGAGTGAAACGGCATCTGAAATGAGAGGGCGGGACTTGATTTCGTCCTTCGGGAATTGATTGGATCGTTGGAAGGTGGGGCGTTGCAAACAAAATGGAGGCAGATCTGAATGCCTTGCAGTTAGTGGTGGGGGATTTCTCTCCACTGGATTCACCGCAGACACCCTAGCATGAATAAATGTTTTATTTATTAAGAATGACGATGACGATCAACGGCACAAAACATGCCTAAACAGCACGCGCACGAGAGAGAGAGAGAGAGAGAGAGAGAGACTGCCTGAATGACGGAGCGTGTCCTCCATCAGGTTGTCATATTCATGAAAAAAATTTGTTTGCGATGTCCTAAGAGTAACATTGTAGTAATATCCTAATATCTTTTCAATGTTTAGGGGTAACGTACTCCCTTATGACTGGTGTCAGTGCTGTAAAGTGAAGCATCAGCTTCAGCGTTTCTGTCATTTATCCCAGCGTTTACCCCTCACGTCACTAGCTCCGCCCTTGCGCCATAGCTCGTGACCGGAAGAGAAGATGAGTCGTTTTGAGGGGGAGGGGAGATTAACGTTTTTGATTAAAGACTATGAGGGCACATGAATTTAAAAAAAATAATGAAGTGCACGGATAAATTATTTATAATAAACACTACAGTATACCATTAAAAAAATAAGAATTTTCAATTTTGATTTAATGGTGACTTTAAAAGTGAAACAAAAAAGAAAGTAGGCCTAAACAAAATGATAAACAGGATAATTCGCTTTATTTGTACATGTTCTTGAAGAATCGTGCGTGCACACGATTTACCAATTACTTCCCTTGTTTAAAGTAGATTGTAAAATAATGATTTGTTCTACTTCCCGTCAGAGTTCTCTGTTCTCAGATAGCACACGTACGTCTGCAAGATGTCTATTAAAGATCGCTTCATCTGGAAAGCATCTGTGTACAAACATCTGATAGACAACTTTAAGATGTCCGTTTTACATGCATTCTAAATCATAAACATGTTAAAGACATTTTCTAGACGTCTATTTGACATCTGAGAAGAAATGTCCTAGACGTATTGCAGATGAGCAAAAACACTCTAAAAAATACGTCTTCAGGTGTAAATTCAGACGTCAAATAGATGTCTCCGTGATGTATGCTATCGGTTGCTGCTATGTTATGTTATTTTATGCTATGTTTTGGACAGAGACACTTTAATTTGGTATTATTTTGAGTTAGGAGTGAGTTATACACATTCTCAAAAGCCTTGCAGGACTCATTTTAAGTGAGAGGCATCTATCGGGTTATGAGAATGCGGACAGGAAGTAGAATGAATATTTGTATGCACGATTTCGAATTAGTAAATCGTAGGCTCGTAGTAAACAAAAGAAATTAATTAGTAAATCGTGCGCACGATTTACTTTTTTATCCCTGCATGTCATGTGGCTCCAAACGTCCATCACTTTTCACGCGAATACGCCATGCTTCACAACGTGCAGGCATTTTACGTGCAAAATCTGCAAACCGTTCGTGTTCATCTGAAGAAAGTCATCTGGGACGGCATGAGGGTGAGTAAACGATGAGAAAATTATGATTTTTGCGTGGCGTATGCCTTTAACACGAGCAGAAAATAAAGACCTAAATAGGCCTATGTGTTATAAAAAGCTTTATTTCAGCAGCTTGTGTTGAACAGTTCAAGACATTTTGATAGTCTCGTACACTGATTCCTGTCTCTTCCTTGCAGTCATGTAGACATGGTCGTCATCTTTTGGTTTCGTATGTTTTTCTCTCCTGTGAAAATAATAATGGTCAAATATGTGGAATCGCTGACTAATCACAAACTTTTAACACTTAGAAACTGTCAGCCAATATCCATTTCTTGAGTTTATGAAGTTCTTACCATAGGACGACAGTCAAACAGGAAGCAAAGATGACATTTAGAACAACTGAAAGGGTAAAGAATATCCACGGGGTGGAAAAACTCCAACTTACTAAGAGAACAATAAAGATTGTCAAAAGAGAAGTCATTTGGATGATTTGTATAAAATACACATGATGATTGCATCCTGCCTACCTTTTGGTTTTTCACCATGATTGTGCACTTGGATTTCCATTTTTGTCATACCAATTAGATTCTCACTGACACATTCAATGGTAGTGTTGACGTTTCTGAAGCCAGAAATAGAGATGTTGCTTATGCAGATGATGTTCTCTGTTGAAACAGCACTGAAGTATTTCGTGGTACCGTTCAATATTGGCCAGTATATCTGGGGTAACGGCACACCACTGCTGACACACATGCAGCTCAGTTCATCACCCCACACAAAACAACGGGAGCTGTTCAGGATTGTAGGGGAATCTAAATACAAATTGATGGTGTTTATCGCCTTACCTCAAATTAGAATTTATAATGTGTTATAAGTGAAATGATACATACGTCTTACTTTGAGGATGACAGTACTTTCAGACCGGATACTTCCTTGAAGTGTCACTGTGCAGGTGAGCTTAGTATTGTGATGTTCAGGCTTAGGATGAAAAGTCATTATAGAAAAGTGCTCTTCCTGGTTAGGCACTCCATGACTTCTACGACTAGTTTCACCATCAATCCCTGTCCACACAATATCTGCTAAGGGTTCTGTGCAATCCCCTGGAACTTTGCAGGATATCTCGGCCTTCTCTCCCACTGTGAGCAATGGGACGCTTATTGTTGGTTTCTGGGTAAGCTCTAAAAACATTTATTGGAATGAAAAATTCCATAAATTAATTTGGATTTGTATGTTTCTCTGTCAAAAAGCATATAAACAAATGCATACCTTTAACCACTTAAGCTCGGCGCGTTTTTTGGTATTTTCGCCTAAATTCTTTCTTGTGATATATGACTTGACTTTTTTGTGAAAAATATATAAAATACACATTCTTCGTAAAAATTATTCGCAATGGTTAGGCGGAAATTCGTGTGTGGGACGAATACATTTCTAAGCTTAATTTTACTGCTTTATGAATATAAAAACCAAAAGGAATGGTATTCTTTGTAAAGAAGACACTCCAAGCTTTCAAATGAACCCATATATGGGCTGATACCATATAAGGAAGGTTATGTAGCCTAAGTGGAGCATAAACATTTTTAACGTCATTTAACGTCCGCAGAGTTTAACTGGTTTTAACAGTAATATTTACTGTCTGAGGAAAGATATACACTTTTCCTTCTCCCCACTCGAGTTTTAATCTGTATTCACCATCAGATTTACCCTGAACCAAGTGGTTTAGCAAAAAGTTGCACTCTTTCTCATGGGGATAAAATATATTAGTGGAAAAATAAGGAAGTTCAACAGCTGGGTTTTGAGGATCTCCTTTGAACCAGGTTATCCTAATTGGATCTGAGACACTTTGAGGGATAGTGAAAAAACAGAATACTCTGATGCACAAACCGGCCTCTCCAGTGAAGCTTTCTTCTACTTTGATGTAGAAGTTAGTCGGTGCATCAGGGTCTGAAAAACAAAATCAAAGCATGAGATCAGACAGACTGTGGACTTAAGTTTAATTATTTGTCTTCTATATTGTATGTTTTAACTATAAATCTACACTTTTTTTATATCAACAAAGTTTTGCTGTAATGCATATATTTTGCATTGTCATCCAAAGCTCTTAACTTTTATGAGAAATGTCTTATAAAAATAACAAAGTAGACAGTAGTCATGTGTCACAGTAAACTAATGGAAAACAGGCTGCTTCTGTTCACATTACTTTCCTTGTTTTGGCTACTTCTGAGATTATACAAAAATACAAATTTGTATTTTTAGTAGCTTTTCTAACTTTTATCATAGTCATGGGTGAGAAATGTAAGAATATATAGAAAAACTACAACAAAAATTGTACTGGTTCAAATGGAATAATCAGATTCATGACAAGAAATAACATAAAAGTCAGCACTCACATAAAGTCTCACAGTTTGTCATTTTAATGACAGTCAAGATGAACAGCAGTGTTTGCAGCATCTCATACTAATGTGATGAAACAGAAATAATCACTGGAAACTAGGGCTGCGTTTCTCAAAAGCATCGTAAGCCTAGATCGTAGACCCATTGCCACCAATGGCCACTACGATCAACCAAGCTTACGATGCTTTTGAGAAACGCAGCCCAGGTATGTTAATACTGGAGCACAAATATGACAGTAACAAGTAACTTGTTTTTTTATATGACATTCTGCTGAAATTTTGTATTTTATTTAAACACTTTTGAGAAAGGAGAAAAAAACAACAAGAGATGAGAGATGTTGAAATAAATGATTGCTTACCCAATATTTGGAGAGCTTAAATAACCTGATGTGACGGCAGTTTTTCTTCTGATCAAATTGGGGCTGTTTTTCTTGAGATTGAACCACTTTAAGCAACTCATCATTAACCACCAGAAAGGATATTGTTTCACAATGTTGTTACACAATACTTGATTACACCACCAATGCTTAAGAGTAAACTCTAATCTAACACAGGAATATTTCTAGCACTGAAATGACCAGTGCTTTGCTATTTACATTTTTACAGTTTCATTAAGTTCCCAAGATCAAGACACACTCCCTTCATCTCCATTGGCCTAACAAACTGATGTGTCCTGCCACAAACACACACCACTGCTTCAGCCACAGTTGCTGTGTCAGGAATTCAGAGGAAACTTTCTAAAACGTAATTTGTAAGAAATATAGACTAGAATATGAAAATATAAAATTGAAACTATCAAAAGAAAACACAAGTCCTTTGAAAACAATCACAACTTTTATTTAATTAAAATTAAAGTCTTAACATAGAGATGATGTAGAGATATTTTTTTCTAAAACATTAGTAATAACACAATAATGCAATGAGAAAGCATAAAGTAAAAATGACACACACAAAGAAAGTCTTTCACTTCAGAGTTTTAGGACATTAGCATGTGCTAACATGCATCCTAACTGTTCCACTATATGCTACAGTGTAAGAAAAGCTACTTGACGTAAACTCAATAAAAAGCTTTGTTTCATCTGTAATGCATTTATCAATTCACTAAGATCTCTCTGAAGACATTTTGATAGTCTCGTACACTGATGCCTCTCTCTTCATTGCAGTCATGTAGACATGGACGTTTTGGTTTTTACGTCTTTCTCTCCTGTCAAAATGGTAATAGTAAAACTTGTGGAATTAGTGACAAACATTATAGAAATTGCCAGTCAACGTGTATTTCTTGAGTTTATGAAGTTCTTACCGTAGGACGACAGTCAAACAGGAAGCAAAGATGACATTTAGAACAACTGAAAGGGTAAAGAATATCCATGGGGTGGAAAAACTCTTTTTGTATAAGAAGCCATTCCAAGACCGATAAAGAAGTCATACAGATGTTTTACATATGAGCACTATGGCAGAAATGTAAAATTCTTGTAAAACACATTATTGCGTCGTGTCTACCTTTGGGTTTTTCAGCATGCCTGTGCACTTCGATTTCCATTATTGCCAGCCCTATGAGATTTTCATTGACACAAATGGTAGCATTGAGGTTCCCAAAACTAGCAATGGAAACGGTGATGATGCTTATAATGTTCTCTGTTTAAACAGCACTGTAATATTCACTAGCACCATCTGGTATTGGCCAGTATATCTGGGGTAACGGCACACAACTGCTGACACACATGCAGCTCAGTTCATCACCCCACACAAAACAACGGGAGCTGTTCAGGATTGTTGGGGCATCTGAAATGAAATTAATGGCAATTATGATTAATAATATTAGCATTAATTATAATGAATGCTAATTGCTATTAGGGCAGTTGTGTCCACAACAATCTTGTGATGTGTTATACTGTGTGTGAGTGAAATGATACATACGTCTTACTTTGAGGATGACAGTTCTTTCAGTCTGGATGTTTCCTTGAAAAATGACTGTGCATGTGAGATTAGTATTGTGATGTTTAAGCTCAGGATGGAAAGTCAATGTTGAAAACTCATTATCCCGGCCAATCACACTAAAGATTGTCCTTTCAACTCCATCTGGCTTAATCCCTTCCCATACAATATTTGTTGTGGGATTTATGCAATCCCCTGGAACTTTGCAGGATATCTCGGCTTTATCTCCTTCTGTGAGTGGTGGGACGTTTATTGTTGGCTTCTGGGTGAGTTCTTAAAACACGATGATTTATTGAAATCAGAATTTCTAGAATGAACAATTCTATTATTCTATCATTTTAAAAAGTTTTATGCACACCTAGGATTATCTTGCTTATTCCATGTCACATGGACAAGTTAAAGCTTCTGTTGATGTTTGCAGCACAAAATTTGACATGGTTAATTTCCATTAGTTATTTTATCTACAGGAAGTAAATTCAGAATTCGGAAGTAAAATAAAGTAGCGCAATATGATAAATTGAACTGAAACACATTCCAGACAATTTTAATTGAATATTTGGACAGCCCATGGAATAGATTTGTGTGATTTCTGTTAAAAAAAGCATATAAACAAACACAGCCAACCTTTTACGGTAACGTTTACTTTCTGAGGAAAGATTAACACTTCCCCTGATTCCCATTCCAGTTTCAATCTGTATTCACCATCAGATCCGTTCTGAACCAAGTTTTTTTAGCAGAAAGTTGCATTCTTTCAAATTGTCATTGCTCAAATAATCATTACTCATGTCAACACAAGGAACTCCAACAGCTGGGTTTTGAGGATCTCCTAATTGGATCTGAGACACTTTGAGGGACAGTGAAAAAACAGCATACTCTGATGCACAAACCGGCCTCTCCAGTGAAGCTTTCTTCTACTTTGATGGAATAGATACCAGTCAGATCATCAGGGTCTGAAATGAGAAACAGTAAACGGTAGCCAACTGTATTTTTCCATAATACCCTAATATCAATGACTCAGATCAAAGGGACACATATTCTTTTTACATTATTAATTGATTATTTTGTTTTCAGTAATATTGAAAGTAATATTTTCAGTAATATTTATTAACCTGGAAAAACAACTCAAGTAATAAATAACTGTAAATGTCATAGAAAATAAAATAGGCACTTGATAAGTTCAGAAAAAATGTGAAACAATATAGTCAAACCATTTCATGTGACTTAAAAATAGGTTATATTATAGAGTGATGCCTTTTATATGATGATTGTTGAATATTTGTTTTCATGACTAAAAAGTCATGTTTGTCACCAAACATTCTCATGTTTATCTCGAGAATGACCCATAAACTACTTAGTACTTGTTCTCTATAAATCAGAGTAATCATATGGTGAAATTACATTACAGAAGTTAACACTCACCAAAACAGTCTGTCATTTGAACGATGGTCAAGATGAACAGCAATGTCTGCATCATCTCAGACTAATGTAATGAGACAGAAATACGGCCTCTGGAAATTATGTCTGTTGATACTATAACACAGGGGTGCCCAAACTCGGTCCTGGAGGGCCGGTGTCCTGCAGAGTTTAGCTCCAACTTGCCTCAACACACCTGCCGGGAAGTTTCTAGTATGCATAGTAAGAGCTTGATTAGCTGGTTCAGGTGTGTCTAATTGGGGTTGGATCTAAACTCTGCAGGACATCGGCCCTCCAGGACCGAGTTTGGGCACCCCTGCTATAACACAACTATGTCAATAATAAAAAAATACACACATATAGTGAGGGGTCATTCTTATTTGACATTATTAGTAATGAAACTACATTTGTATTTGTAGAAATGACTTATCATTATTATCATTACCATAGAGATATGTGTACTTGATACCCCTCCCATCAACAGTAAAACTTGACTAATACAGACACCAGTATTGTTAGCACTAAAATAATTTTCCAAAAAACTAATATTATCTTTATACCTAATAAATTTGATTAATTTTTGTATAATGAAGTATTGGTCATTTTTATTTTAAGCCATCCACTCATTTTTTTTTATTGAGTGTTTTTTTAACATTTAATCAAACAATCTACTTCAATGGACTGTGCAACAAACAGACAAACAGAAACATTCCAGAAGAAATTGTTAAAGACATTAAATGTTGTATTGAATCCTAGGCCTTTCCGCCGTATAGTTGTGAATAACCACAGGCTGGCGTAGCTGATGGCAGATCACCTCGTCTATATATAGGGAGTTGGTCTTGACCTGGATCTCCTCCTCCAGGCTCAACTGGCGCCTTGCTAGAGCTTTCAGTTCCATCTCTGACAGTTCAAGAGCCTCGGTCAGTCTAATGGAGAGACATAGAGGGGAAGATGCTTTTATTGGGGACATACTAGCATATGAGACATATGTTTCCGAATCCCTTCCCCTACCTCTCAGTGTGGCTCGTGAGCTCCTTGACCTCTTCCAACAGTCGGATTTGAGCTGGGTCGTGGCAGAGCTCAACGTTGGGTCTTTGGCTGCGAGTGGACAGTCGAGTCTGAGCAACTTTGAGTGGAGCTTCTTTCTCTGTGATTGCCACTCGTAGAGACTCCAGATTCTTCTCCTGATTTGCGGCCTCTGCTAGCAGCTTTAATTCCAATTTACATTTAGTCATCATTTAAGACTCACTTAAATATTTAAAGATTAGATCTTATTTAATATAATATTTAATATAAAATAGCTAGAAATATTTTATGTTTAAGAAAACCAATTTATTGACAAATCTCAAAATAAATATGATTTTCATTATTAAAATGTTGCTGTGCCTTAATTAACTGGTAAAACTGACTTGATGCTTTGATTTGAATTGATGCAGTGCTAGAAGTGCAACTGACCTCATTGAGCTGGTTCTCAAGCTGTGCTTTGGCAGTTTTGGTCTCCTCTATGCGCAGCTCAAAAGCCCTTCCCGTGGCCTCGTACTGTGTGTGCATGTCTGCAGCCGTCTGCTCTAGCAGGCTATCCACGAGAGCTCTCAGAGAAAGAGAGTTGTTCTTCTCTTTCTCAGCTTTGCTAATGTTTAAGTTGCAGAGGCTCTCCCGTTCCTCAGGAGTCACTGCAGATCTGGAAATAGTAAAAGCAATGATGTTTAC